TTTACCATTGTCGAAATGTCTTGTAACCGGGATTTCGAGTCTGATCGGGTCGTCCTGGGAGAAGGAATATCCTTCGTTGACCGTGAGAGCTTGTGATGGGCTAAGTTGGGACACCCCAGCAGGGTTTTTTAACTTTTCAAAGCCGTGCCCGCGGTTATGTGCGGATGGGAATTTGTTAATGTCCGGTTGTAGAAAACCTGAAACTTAACTTAATTAAAATGGATCAACCGCGTGTGTAACCGTGATATTGTCTTTCCGACGGAGTTCGGGAAGTGAACACGGTGTTGGAGTTATGTTTGACGTAGGTTGTTCTAGCATCACTTATTGATCATAGTTTCTCGACCGTGCCTTGCCTTCTCTTCTCGCTCTCATTTGCGTATGTTAGCCACCATATATGCTAGTACTTGCTGCAGCTTCACCTCATACCTTTTACCCTTCCTATAAGCTTAAATAGTCTTGATCGCGAAGGTGTGAGATTGCTGAGTCCCCGTGACTCACAGATACTTCCAAAACCAGCTTGCAGGTGTCGTTGAACCGTGCAGGTGACGCAACCGAGCTCAAGGAGGAACTCGATGAAGATCTTGTTCGTTGTGTTGTTTCGTTTCCAGTTGATCAGTAGTGGAGCCCAGTTGGGACGATCGGGGATCTGTAGCATTAGGGGTAGTCTTCTTTTATTTTGGTTCCGTAGTCGAACCTTGATTGTATCTGGATGTTGTAATGCTTTATTCATGTATTGTGTGAAGTAGCGATTGTAAGCCAACTATGTATCTCTTTCCTTATTCAGTACATGGGATGCGTAAAGATTACCCCTCTTGCGACATGTCTACAATGCGGTTATACCTCTAAGTCGTGCTCCGACACCTGGGAGATATAGCCGCATCGTGGGCCTTACAACGTCGGAGTTGGGGGGAGCTGCGGTGGCCCGGCGGCAAGGCGGTGCGGCGACATGGGAGATGGCGGCGTGGGGAAGGTGTGGAGGCACGAGCTGTTGGCGGAGACACCGAAACTGGGAGATGGCGGCAACGACGACGGGACGGGGCAGAAGATGGCCAATGTGCCACCGACTAGCGGGGCAGGGGAGAACAGGCGTGCGTCCGCTTTGTGTCAGTGCCGACGCAAATCAGGCCTAAAATTGACTTGGTAATGGATCAACAGACGAACGAAAAACAAACGCACGTTCGTTTGGGTCGACGCATTGAGCGGACTTTTCTATCCGCGACGATCTAAACAGACACATACGAACGAAATGGGTCGGCGCGTAGGAGTTGCTCTAAAATCAGGGGTCGTTTGATAATTGGCTTAGAGAATGCTGTTTCATAATTGCCATGTGAGTAGGGATACAAATAGACGGCGTCCGGCATGTTCGTGAACAGAAAATTTACTAAACAAATTTTGCATCGCTCAGCTGCTTGGTTGGCCATCAGATCTCGGCTCAATCGTTGACCGGCACACGGTACAACAGAGCTAGAACGGCGGGAAGCACAATTCTTTCTTCCTCTTTTTGTTTTGTTTATTATTATCATACGGCGGGGAGCAGAGGGTTATCGGGAGCATCTCCGTGCCATTCCCCGATGCTCCGCCGTCGCCCATCTCCATCTTCCAAATGATGCTGCCCGCTCGCGCGCCTGCTCCACTGCCATAGCCGCCCGCCGCGCCATCCCTGATTCCTTGCCGTGTCGTTTCGCCCGTCAGATGGACCCTGAGTCCGAGGTCTCGTTCGAGTTCGTGCCGGTGATCCGGCAGTACAGGAGCGGCCGCGTCGAGCGCCTGCTCCCCGTGGACGCCGTCCCGCCCTCCGTCGACGCCGCCACCGGAGTCGCCTCCAGGGACGTCGTCTTCGACCCGGCCACCGGCGTGTGGGCCCGCCTCTACCTCCCCGCGCGCCCTCCCGACGGCGCGGGCAACAGGCTCCCCATCATGGTGTACCTCCACGGCGGCGGCCTCGTCGGCGGCTCGGCCGCGGACGCACCCGAGCACGCGTTCCTCAACCGCCTGTGCGCCCGCGCGCGCGTCCTCGGCGTGTCCGTCGAGTACCGCCTCGCGCCGGAGCACCCCGTCCCGGCCTGCTACGACGACGCGTGGGCCGCGATCCGGTGGGCCGCCGAGGGCGCCGAACCGTGGCTCCGGGACCGCGGCGACCGCGCGCGGATGTTCGTGGTCGGGTACAGCGCCGGCGGCAACGTCGCCCACAACGTGGCGCTCCGCGCCGGCGAGGAGGCCGACGCGCTCCCCCGCGGCGTCCGGGTCAGGGGGCTCGGGCTCCTGCATCCCTACTTCCTCTCGGCCGAGAAGGCCGACGGCGAGCACTCGTGGCTGAGGGGCAAGCTGGAGGAGCTGTGGCCGTTCGCGTGCGGCGGCCGCACCGCCGGGCTGGACGACCCGCGGGTCAACCCGGTGGCCGACGGGGCGCCGAGCTTGCGGCGGCTCGGCTGCGACCGCGCCCTCGTCTGCCTCGCCGAGGACGAGCTGCGGCTCCGAGGCAAGGCGTACCACGACGGGTTGCTGGGGAGCGGGTGGGCGGAGGGCGACGCCGAGCTGCTCGACTCCGTCGGCGAGGACCACCAGTTCTTCCTCCGGGAGCCCCCGAGCGCGACGGCGCTGGTTCTCTTGGACCGGCTGGCCGCGCTCCTCGGCGCCGGCGCGAACCAGCACTAGACCAGACGTCAGGTGCTGGCACTAGTGCGTTTGGTGTTGTACTAGTACTCTGTTCTACTCTGCGTGTATCTGGATTCTGGAATTTTATGCGTCTGGCGTGTGGACTAAGATTGATAAGATAGTTTTATCTTAAATCTTACATATCATTTAGAGATAACAAAAAAAATCTACAATGAATTATATCTTAGCCTTATCTTTAATAACTAGTCATTTCTTAAAACATGGTGAGACAAATTGTGCTAAGAGATTATCTCTTGTCTTCTCTTAAATAAGAGAAGACAAGCCTTTTTTTTATGATTTCTCTCTCCTTCACCTCATCATTTATCCTAAGATAGCACCATTGTACATGCCTAAGTCATAGTAACTGTGAATCATTTTACTGAAGCAACTGCAACTCCCCACAACGGTTCTCGCCCCCGTCTCTCCTGGATGATATCGAGGCGAGCGGTTCCTGTTCCTACGCCGCTGGCTCCCCTTCCCTCCGTCAGTCGCTCTGGCTCCGGCGGCAGGACGGGGAAGCCCGGTTCCTTCTCTCTATTTGTCTAGGTGTATGATTGGTTCGTCGGGTGTCAGTGCTCGGTTGGTGACGATGTCGTTGTCGCGAATGAAAGTTTCTGGGCCACTGCCTCGATGGTGCTCTACGACGCATCGAGGAGCCGTGGATTTGTTCCCAGGAAAGGTCTTCAAGATGCCGGAGGGCGGGGGAGGTCTTGTTGGGGCTCCTGTTTCTTTGGCTTTGTCCGTCACGTAAGTTGTTCCTCCATCGCCCATCGCCAACGCGGAGTCGGAAGTGTTTGTGTTGGAGGTGGCTACCGCTGAGGCACTGGTCTCGTCAAAGAGATGGTGCAGGAAGAGTTTTTTCGGCGACGAAAGATGGTTGGCGGTTCTGGAGCCTCTCGGCCACATCCCTGCTCGAGAATTTCAGAGTCGTGGTCCAAGTGGGGTGGAGATTTTCCCGGGCCGACCACCCACAGAGAAGTGTGGTGACGGTCGTGGTGGACTTACAACGCAACTGCCATGGCTTTCTCTTGGATCTTGACTAAATGGAGGCCATTTCTTCTCCTTTCCGGCGGATGCTTGGGCGAGGGCGGTGGTCGAAGTTTTTGGTCATTTTGTTGGTGGCTACAGGGATGAAGAGGAATTTTCTGCAAATCTCATATGTTGCGAGTGTTTCCTATACTTTCTCTTTGGATTACTCCAGAGAAATGTCATATTTGCTGAAATTTGTTTATCTTACTAATATAAATGTGGTACTTCTAAAAAACTGCGAATAATTTTGATCTTGTTAACTAAATCTATCCACATACTTTCTCAACAAGAAAAGTCCACACACTCGCACAACATAAGCCGTATGATGTTTTTATTGCCAAAATTTGTGCAACAATGTCATACTAACGTCGGATGCTTCATGCATTTAAGAGCTTTCAACAACAATGCATAAACATCACACGTCTGCCACACAACAATAGCATCGCACGTTTCGTGGGTGATTAGGCAAGTTGGAGGCCTGAACTGCCTTTTGCCACAACCACTCAGAACACAGGTTACGTGTGAGGCGAGGGAACTCGCCATTTTTTGCCGAAATGATCTGGCACCGAATATACATTATATACTCTCCGTCTCAAAAATAAGTACGTATCTCACATCTGGTATAATTTTGTGCTAGAGTTAGTATAAAGTTGAGATACTTATTTTGGGACAAGGGGTACAATACTGCAATTTAGCTTAGGATGATGGATTTATTTCACTTTATGAGGGTGCTCATTTGGAGGATGGCAGCAGGAAGATTAACTTACACTGTATATACAACATATGAATATATCCACCTGATGATAAAAATAAAAGCTATAGGCAAAGCCAAGAAAAATCAATAGAAAGCTCAGCAAATCGGCCGGACAAAGGCTTGCGTCGAGAAAAGCTTGCAAAAACGTCTTATATTATGAGACAGAGGGAGTAGGTATGAAAGAACCACATCAACATGTGAAAGAACAAATATTTCCATAAATAACAGTCCAGAATCTGGATACGACATGTACATAACGCGATGTATAGCTTGCAAAAATGTCTTATATTCTGGAACAGAGGGAGTAGGTTCATCAACATGTGAGAGAACAAATATTTCCATAAATAACGTCCAGAATCTGGATACAACATACATAGTGTGATGTAACAACAGACAGGTTGCCATGTGCACACGGAACGGGCACATGAGGAAAGATAACAGCAAGAAAATATAGCTTATCCGGTAATACAACAAGAGACCAACACATGACTGATGAGAGCTGTTTCGATCATTCTGGGGCAAGCAAACATGGCACACGGCAGCATAGAGCCAAGTTGCTGCATTACTCCTCGTTGACGGTTTCGGCATCAGATACTGCCTCACCGTCCAAGTGCCAGGGCTCAAGATCTTCGGAATCATCGTCCTCGTGCCGACACCACTCGCCGGATGTGTCCCGGTATGGTGTCCCCAGTTCCTCGCCGCCACATGCTAGACGCAAGAAAGGGCGGGTTAGAACCAGGGCGTCGACCATGATCCTGTTCAAGCTGCCTTTTAGCCCGAGCCATCGCAGTCTTGGGAAGAGTGGTTTCTTAAACCACTTCATTGCAAGTAATGTGATCCCACCGCAGTCGTAGAGATCCAGCAGCTGCAAGGTGCTGCCGCAAGTTACCCCCTCGAATTGCATGGATGCAAGAGCCTTGACAGAAGCATCCCCTATTTCTGGATTCTCTCGCAGCCGCAGCTCAGTAAGAGGAGTTCGGGTCCGCACTATCACCATGATAGCGTCGTCGGTGAGACTTGGGATTCTTGAGAGATCCAATGCATGTAGGCTCTCTTTAACAGAACCAGCAAACAGCAAGGGTATGCAATCATTTGTTAGCTTATAGCAGCCCCTCAGAGATAATGAAGCTAGCGGGCATACTCCAACGCCCAGATACTCCATTGCTTGATTAGTGATCATGGTTCCATCCAACACCAATTTCCGCAGCCTGGGAAGGCAGCTCAGAGCTCTTACAGCTTCATCACCCAGACTCTTGCAATCTTTAAGATCCAAAACATTGAGACCCTTGTTGAATGACAGCCTCTCAATCCCAGCATCAGTTAGTAGAGTACACCATCTCAGACTCACATGTGTTAGGCAAAGGGAGGTGGCAACAATGTCATGGAAAACAAGATCAGTGAGATGGCTTCCATTAGTCACCTTAAGCTTATGAAGACCTGGACAAGAGTGTATGATAGCCCTAAACCCGGTGTCCGTTACACGGGAGAAACCACCAAGACAGATACTCTCCAGATTTGTGCACTTCTCGGACATTAGCAGAATTCCCAGGTCATTTACATGGCGGAAAGACGTGTATATGAACTCCTGGCTTCTAATTAGAGATAAATGCTTCAACTTACCCTTCGGATTGATCTGCTGAAGGCCAGCATCTGTGAGATCTGTTGCAGTTGCAGATTCAGGTTCCATAATTGGTGAATCCTGAAGGTCCAGATGTGTCAATAATGGAAGTGCTGTTGATATGGACCCAATCAAATGGTCGGTGATGAACTCAACTGTGAGGCGCAACTTCTGAAGGCTAGGAAAAAAGACAGGTGCCTTGACATAACCAATGCGTTGTCGCGACTCCATAGCCACAGCCAGAAGTGCAAGTAACATTTGCAATGGAATAAAACCCATTTCAAGAGAGGACAGGCCTTCAGAAGCAGATGACCACACATGGCTGAAACTGGGGTTATCGAACTTTGAGAGATCAAATGCCAAGCGGAGAGTCTGCAAATAAAAAGTATGTAAGTTGTCAGTTCAATTACATACCGATAAAGGTACTCCAATCTCAAAGTAAATCACACAACTGTTTAAGCATAAACTCTCAAGGCCTCAGCATTGACTTCAGCTAGTGTGTTGTATATTAGTCAGAAGATCATGCAATGTAAGTCAATTAGAAGTTGATAGCAATAGCATCATTCACTATTAAATGCTCCAAAATGGGCCTGCACGGTGCTGTTCAGTCAAAGGAGATGATGATTGTACAAAATCAAATCTGAGATCAAACCGACCCGGACCTACCTCCAAACTGGAACATCCATCGAGCAACGCCTTCAGATCAGAGAATGTCATGGCCAAGCCCCTCCGATCAGCAAGTGAGTTCAGAGACAGCACCCTGCATCCAAGCAAAAGAAGAGATACTTATTTCTGAAGGTCAACTTCACACTGCACAACAGAGCCAAACATAATTTGCCATACACAAGCGATTTGTGATATGCATACAGGGGCGTGTGCAGCGGGGTTAATACCTGAGATCCGGGCAGGTGGCGCTGAGCTCGCGGAGCAGGCGGCCGCTGATGTTGTTGCAGTTGCGGAGGGTGAGCTCGTGCAGGCCGGGGCGGGCGAGGCAGTCGACGGCGTCGTCGTCGAGCCGCGCGGCGTCCAGCCGGAGGCTCCGCAGGGCCGGGTTGCGCGGCAGCAGCGGGCGGAGCAGGTTGTGCGTCAGCACCACCTCCTGGTCCAGCCAACATGCACACAAACACGAGACGTAAGTCAGTCAGCCGCGGTCGGACGGTCGGCGGTGGCGACGGGATGCGCGGAGGCGAAGGCACTGACGAGGAGGTGGAAGGCGGGGAGGAAGGAGAGGGCGTGGGAGGCGCAGGAGCGGAAGCAGCGGCAGACGGCGGAGGCGAGGAGGAGGGAGCGGACGTCGAGGCGGGAGAGGATGGTGGCGACGACGGCGGCCGGGAGCGCGGCGTCCATCGCCGGCGGCGGCTCGGGGGCCGGATCGTCGATCGGATCTGGCGCGGACATGCCGGTGGTGGATGGTACTCTGGTGCTGCTGGGAGAGCGGACGGACATGGGCGGGTTTTGAGCCAGAGCAGAGAGCCGTCGCTGCTTCGCGGAAGCTTCCTTCCGGATCACATGGGCCCACGCGCCGCTTGCTGCGCTGCGGCGGCTGTCTTGTGGGGCCGGAGAGCGGTGACCACGCCGTATTTGGGTTTGCTCAGGAAAAAGACGTTCATCACCGAAAGTGCTATTCTCAGCCCGAGCTCAGATGCACCTGTTATCTTAGCCGTTATATAGCGCCAAGATTCGCGCCTGCGGTTGTATTTCCAAACGTATTCTCAGCAGTGTGCGAAGCCTTTTCAGAGAAGATGGCCCACCCAGCTGGCGCATTAAGTATGACGGCCGTCACTCCACCGTCTGGTGGCTCAGATGCACGCTATCGGAGCGTGCCACGGCTCAGCCGTTACCTCTCCAACGGACGTTCACCTCCATTTATTTTATATTATATATCTGCTAAATCCAACGGCTTGCTCTGGAAGATTCCCCCTCCCCATATCCCCCTCCCATCTGCCTCCCCAAACATTATCTCCTTGACTAATTGTTCGAGCGAACAGACCGGTGTCCATGGCGTCTTCGTCTTCTTCCCCGCAGCAGGAGGGAGTGCTTCCACTTATCCCTTGCCCCGACTACAAAGACAAGGTGGTCACCTACATGTCTCGAGCCGGATCTCGCTTCTACAAGTGCGCGAGGAAAGATGTAAGTCCCCATCTGTCCTCCAAGAACATCCATTTACTATTTTGAGATGGATCTGTCCTCAGTTTCTCAATGTCGATTCCATGCAGGCTGGGTTGTGTGGATTCATTAGATCTACGGACACGTACATGCCGGAGCTGACCCGTGCTGGCCTTAGCCAGCCGTACGCGCTTTATGGCCCCATTGGTAGGCTCTCTGGCTCTCCGATTCAGCAGCGGTACAGGCGGACCGACAGCTTCGAAGACCGCATGCAGCCAGAGATTCAGCCACCGCATGCACACATGGAGGCGCAGGTTCAGCAGCAGAATGCTCACCGCGGCGCTCAGGCATGCTGCTCCGTTGATAGCCAGCGCACGGCCTTGGTGTTGGCTGGAACTAACTTCATCCTCGTGGTCGCACTGGTGTTCCTAGTCTTTCAGCAGAGCGCTTAGTTTTTCTTGTCAGGAGTCATGTATGGTGCTGCAGTCAGTATTAGCCGCTTAATTAAGTCCAGAGTTCAGTAGTTAGACTAATCTATTATGTATGCTGCTTTGTACTTGGGACCACCCGCTTTGTTCATTTTGTGACGGTCACTGGCATTTCGGTGTAATGCAATCACGTCTATGAATTATTATATTTGTGGTGACACCGAAATGGCATTTTCATTTTTATGTACGTTCATGTGCCGCGAACTGTGCAAACAGGGACACGCCCCCATGACCATCCCATTCATACATGAAACCAAGTTTTTGGTTTTTCTCGTAATTTTTTAGTTGCCCACGTGTAGTAACATCGACGGCAGTAATCCATTTATTTTCGCCTGCCCAGTTATTCACGTGGCTGCCCAGTGCGGCCCAACCCGTGATCACTTCCCTGCAGGCTCCCACCGCTTAGTTCATTGTCCTCTCTCTCCCTCTCAATCAGATCCTCTTCTTTCTCTGTCCAGCGACCGCGAAGACTCTGCTTCGCACAGCTCGGCTCTGGCCATCCCCCTCGCCCGCGGCGTTGGTCGGCGTCCAGATCGAGCTCTCATCCAGGTCCGCCCTCATTCACATCACTTCCCCCCCCCCATCATGCGCTATCACATATGTAAGTCCCTACAATGATTTCTTGGATTATTACACCCATTTGCTCAAGATCCAACAGCTCGTAAGGTCGGCAGACTATATTTCTTTCCTGCTCGGCCCACACCCCGCTTAGCTCCACTGAATCTGCTAATCCATTTGCATTACCTATGCCTACAGATCTATTAGTGTACTGGGTTCCAGAGTTGTATCGGATCCCATTAGCTGTAGTTACAGGGATGTACTGGGACCCAATATTTCCTCTGCCTGCTGTTTTACTGTCTACACATCTATTAGTGTACTGCCTTCAGTTAGCAGAGATCATTTTGTAGTCCTAATCATTTTAAGTTGAACAACATACTTTCAACCATCTGTACTGTTCTTTACTGAACATTGGGCTCAATTTTCATTTGCACAGCATCAATTTTTATTTTTAGGTTCATGTTTGCAGGCCAAACATGTCGGATGCAGCAAGTTGCGGAGGGGACACGTGTGGTGAGAACCTAGAGATCCCTCCGAATTTCCCAAGTGATGATTCAGCAGAGAGTGCTCTACTAGAGTCATGTCCAGCAGCAACATCTCGTATGTCTGTCAAGCATGTGGTCGAGGTTATCCGGTCATTCAACGATTACAAGCGTTTTCTCATTACAAGCATTGGTTTTGGTGGCATGCTTGACCTCCACATGCTGCAGACATTGAACCTAAAATTCAGCGCTTGGACAATGAGCAAGGTCAGCACTACCCGGCGCGCAATTGTCCTGGCTGCTAACAAGGTTTTGAAATTTTGGCCAGAGGATGTTCACAAGGTTTTTGGAATCCCGTGTGGACATCGCAACATAAAGGGCCGTGATGGTCACATCAAGCCGGAGGCGGTTCAATTCATAAAGACCGCATTGGGAATGGACAAGAAGGGGGTACACAGCCTTCGCGCATGTGAAGATTTCCTCAGGAGGGACATTTCTGAATCATCAAGCAAGCTAGAGAAGGACTGCTTCCAAATTGCCTTTGTTATTTTCGTCATGGGCCATGTCCTAGCACCGACCACAAAGCATGATTACGCCACCATCGATTTCTGGGGGGCTCTGGCTGACACGGAGATGATATCCCAATTCAATTGGTGTGAGTACGTGATTCAAGCTATGCTAGCTGGAGTTAAGAGGCTGAAGAATGACATCCGTTCAGGCAACCCCGTCAGTAACTTAGTAGGCTGCCATTTCTTCCTGCAGGTAGCACCACTGGTTGACCTTATGCAACAATTAAATCCTTTTAACCTTTAATTACGTCCAACTAATGTATTCCACTCTCTTTCACAGATTTTTGTTCTAGACAACCTCGACCTGGGAATCTTCAACAAACATCATTCTACTCTGCCCAGGGTCAAGGAGTTTGATCAAAAGTCAGTCCGCAATATGATAACTCAGGCCACTGATGTTGGCAAGGGAACCACATCCTATGCCAGCGCTATGGTGAGTCTTTGTCATTTGCCATGTCCATTTTTATCTGCATGCAATTGTTTCTCCTTTAGTTTAATGATAATGCCATTACTTTTCAAGCTACGCCATCACTCAACTGTGTGTTATGAGCGATCAAAGTATCCTGTTGTGGAGCTGTCAGAATCGAGAAACACAGTTATTTCTCCGATTCAGCCAAGCTTGTCTTGCGGTGGTACTGCAAGCGCGACATCTCCGAGGGATGCACCTACCTCAGCGCAAAAACTTAATTTGATTTCTGAAATGACGCCGACGACCATACGGCTGCTAGGGCCCATGGATTTCTCAAACTACCTCCGAAGGCAGTACTCGCATCTGGTTAGTTCTCTTTGTTGAAGTGTCCATATGTACCGGTTTCTGCTCACAAGCATTATCATTAGCCACAAGGATTGACGTTTCCAACTCCATATCATGCTTCAGGCGAACGATCAAACCACTGTTCTTCTAAAGGAAGTCAATGCTCGCTGCATATCGCATCTAACAACTGCACGTGGCCACATCCAACTCGAGATGATCAAGTTTGCTGATAAGATTTATGCTGCCCGTCCCCGCACATGTACATGTTGTGCAGCGCGTGGCTACGATGACTGCCCACCCAGACCTGACAATGCCCCCAATGGTACCTCCTGGTCCACTACGTGCATTTTTTTTTGTTCTCCACGTATCTACTATAATTTACGCCCCTTTTCCATGAACAGCTGATGCAATGAGAACACCAGCCAGAAATGTCATTCAGGGCCACCGACTAAACCTATCTCCATGTGAAGGTAACCTCCCCCACCGTTTTCTAATTTTGCTCAGTTATACTAGTTGAATTGACGCCGCCGTTTTTTCATTGTAGCCAACACTTCCACGAACAAGCGGGTTAAAACTCAACACAAATCCTATCAAAGCAATGAAAATCGGTTGGGCACTGCTCTTTGCCAATTTATACAAACGGTGACCCAGTTTTCCAAGGAAAACATGCAAGCGATTAGTGAATTGTACATCGATCTCCCAAATGATGGTAGTACAACTGTTTTTGGTGAGAGGTGTGCTGATCTCCCTGGCCGGAAATATGTAACTCGGCCCGGCTTCCAGACTGATCCTTGGGTCAGGGGAGTTGTACCCTGTCCTCCATAGGCTGGTGTTGCTGAGCTAATTGAGCAGTACCTCATGTCTGCTCCCGACACCGAGCTATCTGGGTATGTGCATGCACCAGTGAAACGAGTTTCCCTCATTTCTCTACCATCACATTGTAAGCAGTTCATCTTAATTTGACCACACTAACGAATCACTGTACTACATGCAGGAACTTTCTCGTCCATGAGAACCCAAGATTTATTCGGATATCTGGTCTCGTCCTACGTGACCAGCTAGTTGGCAATAACATCATAGGCCATGAATTGATGTCAATCCTGTTTAGGCGTTTCGCTCAACTTGATGCATATGCTGAAACTGCAAACCCTTACTTAAGCTGGAGGCACCCAATTGAACCGGACTTTCCAGTAAGCTACAAACCTTCCAAGTATTTATCAGTTCCATTTAGTAAACTGTTTTCTCTTGTCTAACAACATGTGTTCCTTCTACCAACGAAGGCACTAGTGTTGTCTGACTGCGACTTTCTGCACACTGTGTCAATCCAGAGGCAGTTAGCCTCTGATTATCTCAAGTATGATATAACTTCGTCCAAAATGGTAATTATCTGGTTGAGCACTAGATGTTTTCCGTAATAGTACGTTGACTCACTTGCACGGCACACAGCTGACATCCCTATGTTATCCCACAGTTCATCACACCGGTGCGA